TTCTTCGTTGATTTTTTCTTTGTTTTCTAGTTTATTTTTCACTGTTTTGAATAAAATTCCCACCTATTTGCAAATATAAATTCGTGTTAAAAATGCTTGTTGGCGGTCGTTAATCGCTGCTTACTTTATGTAATTTTGTGTTTAAAACGCCCCACGCAAGCCCCATACATGTTAACTAGTACTATGTGGTTAGTTAATCATCTGACAAACTACGTTTTGTGCAACGCAATTAAGTCGTGTAGTTAATTAATCATAGTTAAGGATTTAACTACATGCAGTGATTAACGCTAATCATAGTTAAAGTTAACGACGTTTTTATACAACCGGCCCCAGGAATAGTGGCGTCAGCAGTCGCTTTCATACGCCAGAATGACAATCGTGACTAGCCGTATAGTGTAAATGGGCTTTTAGTCATTCTTAATAGAAAGGTTAAGGTCCGCTACCATTAAGGGACCATTAACCAATTAGATGTGTTTGGTATATCTGATTAACCAATCAGATGCGTGCTAATCCAGTGAGAGGTTGTGGTAGCGGTCGTGGAAGCCTAATCTGAAGCTCGCTGATGTTGGCAGCACGACAGTGCTACCAAATGTTTTCCCCAATGTTTGCTGATTTTTTCTATTTCAACATTTCAGAATTCATATTCCACTGAACTTCACGGCTTTGACGGCTGGTAATGTCCACGGCCTTGCTTTCTGGTTTGACGTGGCGTTTCATGGCAGCTCGTAAGTTTTTACATAATATACTTTCTAAGTTTAAATAATGATATGTTCTCTGTTAATCTGGTAAGTATCCAAGGAACTGGATAATGCGAAATTGAACCAAAGGTCTTGCTTGGTGTCGTTTCAATTTCTTCGGGAAGGAATCCGGTAAATCGTTTACGATCGCACATGTGTTGTGCGACAATTTTGCTGTAGTTGTCGACGAATATATACGTACTATAAATGTAGGTTATGTATTTAAGAAAAAATTTAATTCAATTTTATTCCAAGAGCACTTTAAATAACGAACATTTAAAACGTTTCTTGTGAATCCTCTCCGAAAAAGGTCTATAGATAAACACTACTAGCGCGAATTGACGCTTTATAATGTATTCTTTTGTTCTGAAAATGCATTTGGTCAGTTGTCAGTAATGATTATCAATCAGTGAAATTTCTCTTTGGCTAATTTAAGTGAAATGTTAAAGATGATGTCCACTCCGTTCTGCGCATCAGTTCTGCTCATAACAAAGGGGGAACCCCAGATATAAACATTGCCCAAATTTTGCATCTTTCGAACTTTTTGAATTGAAACGTAGAGTTTATATTCATTTACAAGCATAGCGAACCAGAAAAGTGTTAGATATTCTGTTAGTATATCATATTTTACAAATATATAGCAGTTCAAAACGTAAACAAAGTTCGCGCATGTGCACAGGAGTGGACATCATCTTTAAGTACTGTATGTGTTTAGACTTTACTCTCGGCGTTTGGTTTCGGTTGATTTATTTTATAAAGTCTATAATCTAACTTTAGCATTTGAAGACCACCATCTTTTATCAGGCCTGGTTACAAGGCATTGTCGAATTTGTTCGCGAAATGTTAGGGTGGGGATGGAATTTGGGTTGTGGGGCAAAGTCTGAGTTCTTTTTCAAACTTCTTGTCTTAAATCTCATGCAAATTTGCCTCATTTTCTAGCCTACCAATGCTTTCATGGTTGTGAAATTTCTGTTACAGCTTTGGTACACTTTTATTCAGACACCATTCAAAGCCTTATAGAAATAATAGGGAGTTTGGCAAACACAACGGCAACGGCAACGGCAACGTGGTCATCACCAATAACATTGATCCTCAAAGACAAAGGCGAATGTAAATTACATGGTCTTTAGCGCTGTCCAATGCCGTAGTTGTTGAAATTGGTACGTGATTTGCATCACTTTCACGGTGCATGACTACGGCAACAGTTAGTTCGTTCGATGTTATTTGAAGTGTTTTATTTGGATTCGCGGACTATTTTTACTTAGGGGCTGTTTGCCGAGAGAAACAGGAATACTTAAACAGGCAAATTAAGTGCAGCAACGTATACTTTGGCTCAATGACAACAATATAAGCAATTATATTTTTGCCGTTGCCGTTGTCGCTGCCGTTCTAGGTTGCCAAACTCCCTATGTGGTGGAGGACGGTTGTACCCGTAGTGTCCGCCACATTCCGAATATTGCACAGTTAATAGTTACGAAATATGTACCTGTAGGAATAAATCGAACTTTTATTAGCATGCAATGGCTTCGATGAAATAGCATGACGGTGATTGTTAAATAGAATTTGGTACAAAAATGTGCTATGGTTTGTTATTGAGTACTTCTTGCCTACTGAGTCCAGAGAACTATAACAAATAACTAACACAATCAGACCCTACACGAGCTTTTACCGCGCAGTATATTGGGACCGAAGGTTATCACGCTCGTGTGACTCCGTATTCTTGTTTTTTATGATGTCAAAAATCGAGAAAGCTTCGTCTATAAGGCAGTCTGTCTCAGGCCCCAGGTACACGGTACCGGATTCGCTTATCGCGACATCGAATTTGACGGTTCCAGGAGTATCTTAACACTTTAAATACGATAACATGACGAAATAAAACGAAAACTGATAAAGGGAGAAATTTTGTGGGCAGACGTTACCCTTGAACGTCATTTGATGTCGTAAAAAGCGAATCCCATGTGGTGTAACTATGGCCTCGGTGTCCCGTATGTTTAATTTGTGATATATTGCTGACATTGGTCACGTTAAGTTCAATGTAGAAAGAAGTTATGCGACATAATCATATTTTAAAGGGAAATGCAACGCGATTTTAAAGTATTTATAAGACGAAAATCCATTTTTTTTATTATAACCCAAACCAGGGTCTGAGTCTAATCATGTGCCTGGTTGTTTCTTAACCACCTGCCATAATTTGGTCAATTTGATCAGGGCAGTATAAAATGTGTTATTTTTAATTTAACCAGGAAAATTTATTACCAGACTGGAATTTATTTCCGAAAACAAAGTACTAGCGAACGGGCTTACCACATTGGTGGCGTCACTACAGAGTGTCTGCCTTAACAAATCTAAATTTCAGTTTGGATAACGGAACCCCACAGGTCCGACAGTTCTCTGTGGCAGTCTGGGGGCATGCCTCTCCCTCATGGAAAACCTCTTCTGAAATGCACGTTTCTGGTAAATATTTTACAAAATTCTGAGAATTTTACTTTCTACGGCCATGTCACTTTGTATAAATAAAGTGTGTTATTTGGTTGAAACAAAAAGTGAATTAGATTTACAAATACTGACATGATATAACGTGAATACGGAGTCATCGTATGCTGTATAGGTGGTGTTGTGCCCTGTGGTAAAACTAATGAACATAACATTTTCAGGCGATCCGTGTGGCTGTCCACAGCTCCACAAGAACCTCTTACGCACTGGTACCAGGTATTTGAATAGCTACAAGGTATTTTCATGAATATTGTCGTGCAATAAGGATCATAAGGCAAATTCGTAAAACCTTTGAAAAGAGAACATTTTGTTCCCAGTGGTTCAAATACCTCAACGGTACCTTGTAGTCTTTACACAATAAATGCTCGTTGGTATTATCGTGTCGATATATACCATGCACTCTAAATAATGCATTCATACATTATTACTTTTCAAATGCATGCATTGCACCTTAACAATTTAATTAATTCTGAATTCTCGGACATATAGTTAGCTTCTCAAATGAACAGTTTCCCGAAATTCGTGCAGTTAGTTTCTGGAATGTGAAATTAATCCAATGTGTTCACTTTGACTATCTGCCTAAAAAGCTTCGTACGATTATTGAAATATTGTTGCATGCTCACTAATTTCTCCAAGTGATTTCAAACAATAGACAATGTCACAATAGTATCATAAGCCTTTATCTTCAGTTACGTTTCACTTCCCTTGTATTGCTTGCTTGATCGATAGTTTCGTCATTCGGTTATATTTTTTGAAATATTTACAGGTTCGGTGTCTGCTACCTAATCCAATACATGTACGAACTGGACAACTATTGCGAGGACATGTGCTACTGGTTGCCAACAAGAAGTAAGGATTGTTTTTTAGATTTTGTTAATACTGCTTGATTTGGATGGTTTGAAATGGAAAAACACGGCAAGACAAAACGAGCCAGCTTCATTGTTTATGTAAAGCCGTCTAGGTTCACAAAATAGAGTATTGCTACTTACAAAAGACAAAATTTGCTTCTATTTATGTCGTATGAAAGTTTGTAAAATCTATGTGATCCGTGATGTTTTTATGTTTAGATGGATATAGGGAATGACAATAGTATGGTATTAAAATGGCTTTAATGCCCCCAACATTTGCTAGAATAACCGGCTGTAATGTTAATGCGAAGTATAAGCGCATGCTGGTCTTGTGTTTGGTTGTAAGGTATAGAACAACCACAGGCATAGTCTGTGTATTGTTGGCGAGCACGGAACCGTGCAAATGACTATTCTGGGTAATTGGCACGTACAAACATCCTGGAAATTTAGACGCGCTCCCAAAATCTAAAATCCGAGCTAAGACCCTGTAGGCTGTATGTCGGTACCATAGATCAAAGTGCGTGAATTTCATTTAAAATTAAGGGTGTCCTCAACAGTGTTTTCATTACGTCTTTGCAACAACGTGAAAGCTTATTGTGACGTTAGATTTCTTACATAAAGTCAGCCTTATAGCAAACCCCGCATCGTTTCTCCTGAATTTAGCTGTTTGTAACGTTATTTTAATTAAAAAGCTTTAAAGGGATACGGCAATATATTTTTTATTATTTCATTTTAAAGAACTTTTAAAATTATGTGTTAATCTCCTTTACCGATTTTGCGTAACTTTATTATTTCTTGAAATATTTTGACTTAAAATAATTTGCTTTCCGCCATCTTGGATTAAATTTTATCTCATTATCGGTGATTTTAGTGACGTCATAAGCAGGGTTAGGCATATAAAACTACATCTAAATGACCAAATAACATTATGTCTTGTTTAAAAAGTCGTCAGTTTTTTATTTCAAATAGTTATACTGAAGTATATGATTTTGGGCTCATAATAACCAATTGCTCTATGGATAAAATTCTTGCGTGACCCTGCTTATGATGTCACATGCATATCCGCCAAAATCCAAGATGGCGGAAAGCTCGCTGATTTGTGATTTTTTCTGTTCAAATATCTCATGAAATAATAAAGTTACGGAAAATCGGTAAAAGAGATTAACATATAATTTTAAAAGTTCTTCCAAATGAAATAATAAAAAAATATATTGCCGTATCCCTTTAAGCATTTATTACAGTAATCAAAGTACTTAGCGCTCATTTTTGAGCTGAAATTGACACCACGTCGAATTTTCCACGTCGTAATTCTTAAGCTCTCCATTGCATTTTCTGGAGAACGCAGACTTCTTAAGGGCCGTGTACACTTGATCCAA